AGCGCCTGCCTGTTGGTGCTGCCTGGACGGTTTCTTTTTTAACTCGGGTATGATCTGGCTTCATCGAGACCTCCCCCAGGAGCCTTCTTGCAATCCACTCTTGTGGGAAATCTCCACCCCGGTTGAAAACGTTGGGCACAAAGAAAGTATATCCCCTGTAAGCAAAATGTACATCATGCAAACGGACATTCCCCTTTTCAGGATATGATGAACGCTGAGTTCACTGTACCAAAAAATGCCCTGCAGTTTCAAAGAAAAGATGCACGTATTCAACCTGAAGTGTCCTTTCGTTAATTTTTTCTCTTGTTTTGGCATAAATTTAACGAAAAGGTAAAAGTGTGTCGACACAAATAAAATGGACCAGGTGAAAATCGGTCAGTGCTATTTAAGGACATAACTAATGCTCCTCAAGTAGACCTATGCAAACGCCTCTCAGGGTCCCAAATTTAAGGAAAGGCAGCCCGTATCCTTATTTTTGTAAAATCGATTGGAAGTATGTTCTTTGCAAGCGACAGGCGTCTACCTAACACCTCATTTCCACCTGGATTTTGTTGCACCATCTTATGTAAGTGAGGCGGCTTGCAGCAAAGCTACGAGTGTTCGGTAATGGCTGTCACCTCCATTTTATGATCGGTCCCGGATACTTGCGTATTCCCTCAGCGCACTTAACGTTCGTAGCATCCACACCAGCGCATTCGAATCTCATTGTTTCATCCGTCCGGCTCCTGTCCATTGGCTATGTGGGATACCTTGACCGCCTGAGGCACGCTGGACTGGTTACGATCCGAGCTAGGTGCGGCGAAAACATGCTTAAGCCCTACTTAAAGTCGTATTAGAGTGTCTCGGATGGGTGCTCTGTAACGCAGACCAAATTGAAAGGCTTGCAATCGGAACCTGCGGAATCACTGGTTAGACGAAGAAGGCAGAGATTATACCCCGCTTCAAACTTTTTCACTCTCACACCATTAAAGGGCATGTTTCGGCTTTGAATTGCAATATTCTTCTTAAATACCTTTCGTCGTAGCTCACAGTCCTGACCTTCTTACGATCTTGGTCCCCCTAGTTTCTGAGTCACACGGCCGCGAAGATGAGGAAAGGTATATCAGGGAGAGTGTTTCAGTCGCCTTGGCATTCATGACGTTAGAATAGCGTCACCCAAATCCTGCTATTTCATAAGCCATGCAGCGATGAAGAAAAAGATATATTGTCGAGGCGCTCATATCTGGCGGTCGTGAACGCGATTTCCAGATATAATAGCTGTCAACTGGCCGTCAAACAAGGTTGTGCAAGGTACGACGACGTAATCAAACCCCGGCGCATTGAGGAGCATATTTACTAAACAGACAATTGTCCTTTCTGAAGCTGTCTTTTTTGAAAACATATATCAATAGTTATAAGTGAGCTTGTTTGATCATATCTGATGAATGCCTCAACTATTGTAGACCAAACAATGTCCTCAGCAAGCGGATCAGGGCCCAAGACATATTTGGGGGATCTGAGACAGAAAATGTAACAAACTAGGTCAGAAGTCCCCGATATCCGTGACGTCTCGCGCGTGCCACGAAGTTTGCCCAGGTGCTCGGAGACTACTAAGAGTTTTTTTAAACAATCAAAATCCTCCAGACATGCCAATGGAGCTCCATAAAATGAAAGAGCATGACGGGCGACGAGCCCAGGTTGGCCGGATTCCCAGGCTGTTGAAGAGTGCTGAAACGATTCAGCGGTTACTAGAGAATGAGAAATCCGAATCAGTACAAAGTCTCAAAATGGTCAGGGCACCCCGAAGCCCCTAGTCCCTATTGGCCAGGGGACCGCGGGGTCAGTAGTTTCTGTTGGCCGGGTGACCGCGAGATCAGTAGTCTCTGTTGGCCAGGGGACCGCGAGGGTCAGTAGTCTCTATTGGCCAGGGAACCGCGAGGTCAGTAGTCTCTGTTGGCCGGGGGACCGCGAGGGTCAGTAGTCCCTATTGGCCAGGGAACCGCGAGGGTCAGTAGTCTCTGTTGGCCAGGGGACCGCGAGATCAGCTAGTCTCTATTGGCCAGGGAACCGCGAGGTCAGTAGTCTCTGTTGGCCGGGGGACCGCGAGATCAGTAGTCTCTGTTGGCCAGGGGGACCGCGAGGTCAGTAGTCCCTATTGGCCAGGGGACCGCGAGGTCAGTAGTCTCTGTTGGCCGGGGGACCGCGAGATCAGTAGTCCCTATTGGCCAGGGGACCGCGAGGTCAGTAGTCTCTGTTGGCCGGGGGACCGCGAGGTCAGTAGTCTCTGTTGGCCGGGGGACCGCGAGGTCAATAGTCCCTATTGGCCAGGGGACCGCGAGGTCAGTAGTCTCTGTTGGCCGGGGGACCGCGAGGTCAGTAGTCTCTGTTGGCCGGGGGACCGCGAGGTCAGTAGTCCCTATCGGCCAGGGGACCGCGAGGTCAGTAGTCTCTGTTGATCAGGGGAGCTGGTCGCCACGAGCCCTTTAACGCCTCAAGTCAAACAAAGCTCAGACGAATTCTGCGGGCAAAGGAGCTCCAATGCAATCAAAATGCACAGCATGATGAAAAGGCTCCAAGACTCATGATCTGTAGGGGATCTTATATGATGATGGCGTATTTAGGTGCTCATAGGCTTTGGGACGATCCCAAATGGTAAACAAATCTCCGAAATGGCAGACCAAGGGGTTTTGGTTATCAAGGGATACCTGGAAAGTCAAAAGGCCTAGGTGCAGTGGGCCTGGACACAAGCCAGAGTCCATACTATGCCGGAGGACAAAAAGGGATCACAGGCCGCTATATGGTCAAGAGCATGCAAGACGGTCCGGGAGCCTGGGGGACCAAGCGGATCCGGGCAGTCGTAAGGGGGCCAAGGGCCAAAGGTGTTCAAAGAAACAAAGAAAGTTTGCCGACAACCAAGCGGTCAGATATCATATCGGGTGACTTGGGATGGCCATGGCTTTCGATATAGTCGATTGACCCAATATATTCGATGGTTCGCAAAGGCATCAAATTGTAATGAAAAGTTCAAGCAAGAGATCTCATAACCTAGACTTAAGCGATTCAACGGCTGGATGACTCATACAGCATAGGCCCGAGAAGGACATCCCAAGATTGCCAATGAGGATCAAAGTCGATAAGGCATTCGCCTTAGAGGAGCAAGCTGCTGCTAAACGGAAATAGTCCAATCCAAAAGGATAGGTCAGGGATGACCGTGTTCAAAGATTGTAGTCAAAGTCCGGACTGCTAAAGGGATCTAATTCGACATGAAAGTTTTCAAAAGTTAGAATTGATAACGGGTGGGATGCTTTGATTGTCGAAGTCTAAGTTCAACTAGACGCGCACTGACCAACACAAGTTCGAGTTGCTGTGCATTTTTAATCCCCACGATATGGGCCAAAATGTTGTCACAATCGATAGTACCACTACCGACTCAATCGGTAGTGGTACTATCAACAGGTACCGAACGAACCAGTAGAACATTTTACAACTGCCTAGTTATTTAACGCAAAACTTATTTCAGTCGACCGAATCTTTCTAAGCTCACTTCTTAGTGAAGGGTCAACGAAGCTGGCAATCAACCCTCAGTGCAATGGCCCTAATCTAAACAAGGAATATCAGATGATCAAAGGGTTCAAGATTATGAAGAGATCTTCAGTTACATGTTCAGCCTGAGAGATGCCCTTTGGATGTGCTTTTGTTTAATAAATGACACCTGATGAGAAGCCAAAAAGCACCGTAATGCGCTCTTACTGAGTTCCACTCCTACATGGTTGCACGCCTCTTATTATTAAAAGCAACATTGAGGTGGTCATGGGACCTGAGTTTTCAGGGAAATTCCGACACAGCAACAGGGTTAAAGGATATGGTCTTTGTAGCCGATACGCCCGACAAAACAACACTGCGCAATGGGCAATATGCAATGAAGACACCAAAATGGTTGTTGGCCTCCGGTTTAAAAGCAAAGGAGAGTAAAGTGAGGCCGCCATGGCCGAAACCATTTCATGAGGTTGAGACATAAAACACTAGCGATGCGTGGGAGTAACTGCCTTTAAAAAGCGGTTTGGTTGCTTTTTGGAACTTTGTCTAATCTTAGGGTTCGCGATTGTCAGCTCTTAAATTGTCTTAATCAGCCCAGCCCCTGAATGCTAAATAAAAAGGGGATTCCAAACTCTCCACAGGCCTTGAGTCAGCCAAGAGATCCTCAGGCCTCTAAATATTTACAAGATATTTGAAACAAGCCCGCTGCCTCGAGACAGTCAAGAGATCGACGCACGGAATTAGCGTGCCTGTAAAGGACCAGGGACCTCAAGGTGGTCAAGGCATGCGAACTGGTCAAACGTGTCCTGATATGTGGGGTCCAAAGTGACCAGCAGATCAGAGACATTGGATGTGGATAGATCCATTCGCACGTTTGACGTACCTTGTTCAGTGGAATTTGCGCCATCCTTTTCTATGTTTAACTAAGCCTAAAGTTCTCCAGGAAAAGCTGGTGCTTTTGAGCTGTTCTATGCTCAGTAATTGCAATCCTTCAAAGTTAATTTCATGTCAGCTCAATCATTGATGGGTTCATGGCCATGAACTGAAACCGGTCTAAAAGTTGCTGAAATACGATAGCACACTTTTTGACGAGCCAATCAGTCCCAAATCCGTCAACATTGTGTGCTTGACCCCTTCCGACAGTCGACATGGCCTCACACGCTTCCGCATCGCCTTTAGCAGTCCAGACCTTCCCCAGGATCAGCTTTCCTCCAGCTTTCTCGGCGCCCAAGTGCCCCCTGGCCGGCTGCGCCGAGAGGGAGCACGTCCGGCGAGCTCCCGCCCCGACGGCAGATATGACGCTGTCGCCGGCCCTACCGCGCTCGCCCGCGGAATCTCAACACTTTCTCTCTTCGTCGGCAAGGTCAACGGCTGATCTTCGCGAGTCGGAGGGCCGAGACCCAGCCCCCTCGGACGTCCCCCGGCCGCCGCCGCCGCCGCCGCCGGACAGCTATAAAGCCTGCGGCCGGTTGCAGTGACCACATTCGGGTAGCTGCCAACTGCTCTGCTCGTCGTCGAGTGGAACGGACAAAAATCATTAGGTGAGTGCCCCCACAGTCTGAACTGCAAGTCGGTTGTAGCGCTGGTGAAGTCTGAGACTTAACGTCAGCTGTGGCGGTGAAGGTGTCAGTGGAAGTGGTGGAATTAGTGACTTCCAAGGCGAAAGCATTCCGTGTGAAGGAAGAACCGAGCTAGAAGCGAAGAATGATAAAGCAACGTTGATTTCATTCAATGATGAGTTGCGAATAGCTGAGCTGATAATGGGGGTACCCTCAATGTGCCGGGAGGTGGTGATAAAACGACCTTATGAAGCAGGCGTTCTTTACATTAAGAAAACTCCACATGTATTGGTTGTGTAGTTTTCCCAATGTGATCAATGCTGGCTTGAGTATATCCTTTAAGCAGCACCTCATCGAAGGTTAATTGCCGATAAACTTCAGTATATGCAATCTTGCTCGTGACTTTTAATGCCGAAAGACCGGGTTAAAGTCTCTCTTGCTTACATGAAATCAAAAATTATCGCGCTTTTGTTAACTGAAGGTGGCAGTCCCTGAGAATCTTTTGTCTGTAATGGCGCTTTTGAGATATTCATGATTTGCGTGACGTGTAATTTATCATTCCAAATTTCTGCCCGTGATTATTCAGTTTACGCATTCTCAAAGACATTTGGCTCGAGCCACTCTCGTTGAACAATGCCTTTCCTGCGTCATAAACTTGCAGTACGTTGATTATTTTCCCATGTATTCACAACATTATTATATGATACATTAGATGGTTAAGGCCATATACATCTATAATTATATATGTATCTGTATGTATATGGCCTTAACTATGCACATCAAATAGATGTATGTGTATCAAATCACATATTCCGTGGCTCACTCCAAAATATTTTTAAGGCACTTGTTCAACCTAGACCGTCATGAAAACCGTATTGGTGTCGAATAGCTGCGTTCTTTTTTCAACATTCTTTTCTGTTGTTCTGTGGTGGGCAGTGTGACCGCTCTGCACTCACCACTACCCATGGATGTTACAGGGGCAGTGGTGAGTGCATGGGCACTGCCCCTGGATGTTGCATGACTACCGTCTCTCTCCCGCTGGCCTGGCTAGTGGTTTGAACGAGTTCAAACACTGTACCAGGTTGCAGAATGCATTTGTAGTAGAAGGAAAAGTAGTAGAAGTAGAAGCGCCCGAGGAGAGTTGTGCAGTTACTTGTCTACAGATTGAAGTCGTCAGGGTTCGTCGTTCTGTGGGTGCCCTGGTACCCACAGAACGACTTACGCACCCTCGACCTAAAATAGGACAAGAAAATGCTGTTGGCTGAAGCATGCTCGTTTGGGAGGTACCCAATTTTTTAAGAGAGGGGAAGGAGAGCGAAGGTACCTGAGTTACCCACACTACCAACTGTGCATCGGGGCGGCCTGGTTCACCCGTCGCCGTCCAGCACGAAACTTATGCAGGTGTTAGAGGCCTGCATGTGTGGAACGCCCACCAAACGACAAGCGAAAGAAATTATAAGATTGGTCACGTAAATTCTCTGTCACATGGCTGACGGAGCAAGTATAAGGATTTACAACTTTGCGGGAGCTTGGCCACCCACACTCCTGTTCATCACATCGTGCCTGTGGAAGTCGCTGTGGGCGATAAAGTCCATCCACCTTCTCACGCCTGGCGAGCTGATAAGCCTACGTCCGCCCGCATCTGGGACAGAGCGAGTTACATGCCGGTGTGAGAAGTGATTGGACTTTGCTGCCCATCGCCCAACGCGTTGCTTAGCGTGAGTCACAGCCATAAGGTCCAATCACTGACTCCGCCCATGTAACTCCTCTGTTCCAGAATGTGGCGTATTCTGGCCTCCACCGTCCTGGTGGCTCTGGCGGCGGGCCAGCTTGAGGTGCCCGGCGCCTACCTGCCTCCCGCGTGTCCCGAGCCCAAAACCATCTTCAACACCGAGACAAAGGTGGTCACAAACACCGTCACCCGCGTGCTGACGTCGGTGGTCACGCAGCAGGTGCTGCTGACGTCAACCGTCACGAGCGTCGTGCCCAGCACCATCAGCGTCACCAACACCGCGAGCGAGACCAAGCAGGTCATTGAGTCGAGCGTTGTGTCGCGCGCCATCCAGCTGACCGTGACCAAGACTGTCAGCCAGCCGGGCCCGACGATCACCGTGACGAGGACCAAGGTGGTGAGCGAAGTCAGCGTGCTCAACAAGGAGCAGCTCAAGACGCTGGAGGGTGACGCAGACAAGGTGGTCTCGAAACAGGAGACCGCGACCAAGAAGGTCACCAACACGGGTACCAAGAATGTGGAGAAGCTGATTTACTCCACCAGCACGTTGGTCGTGCCTGGCAAGACGGTGGAGCAGATCAAGACCAGCGAGCTGGTGCAGACCAAGGTGGCATCCTCGCAGCTGCCCGCCGTGACCAAGATTGACACCAAGGTGCAGTACATCACTGTCACGCTGACGGAGACACTGCCTGGTAAGACCATTACTCAGATCAAGACCGCCGTCAACACTAGGGCCATCACCATCACAGACACTGCGACCAAGACGGATCTGGTCACCGTGCCGCAGGTCATCACCCAGACGCAGCCGGCATACGCCACGCGCACCGTGGTCAGCACGAAGGTCTCTACCGTTGTCGTCACCGTTACGCAGACGGTACCAGAGTACGTGACGCAAACTCAGACGAAGATCTCCACCAAGCCGGTGGTGGTCACCCAGACGCGGACCGTCATCAACACAGTCACGGGCAAGGACGTGGTCCGCGTCCTCTCCCAGACGCAGACGACCACCTTGCGCGTGCCCGGCCCGGACGTGACCCTCACTCAGACGACGACCGTGTACCAGACCGGTGTGGAGGTCGTCACCTCCACCAAGATTCAGCCGTCGAAGGTCGTCAAGGTGACCACGGTTACGGAGTCGTGCAAGGGCTACAACTACGACACTCCGGAGAACCCGCTGCTGATCTAGACGCCACGGACGCCGGCCTTCATCAAGACCGAGACAGCGCCGCACGAGCGCCGAGCGATGAGAGGGTATAAGTTATGAGTGTGCTGAACGATTGCTGCCCACGTTGAATATGTGCCTGTTGTGACCACATGACCATTTTGTCATGCGCTGTGGCCGTTCCGCCGCAATTTCATGCTCTGGAAATTAATAAATCTAAGGGAACCGAAAGACCATATGCTATACGAAATCACCGGCAAATTTACTGGACTGCGGGGGTGCCACCTGCGAAGTGGATGGACTCAGGTAAGCGTGAGAACAAGAGGCGACAAATTTTCAGCCGCGCCAACAATACGCCTGTTTCATTCGTGTGTGTTATCTGCACTTGTTCTTGATTGACATAGGACGGGATTTTGACCGCTCCTGTGTGTCATGCTTACGCGTGCGCTGTTATCCTGGCAGTTGGGGGTGGTGCTGAGTTTCTTGATGTCTCTGTCTCTGTGCGCGCCTCACCGTTCCCCACTCTTGAACACTAAACCATCCACTAGAACAAATTCAGGCAAGCGAAAACCCGCTCAAAGGTCACAAAGCTAACATCGCTGTCAAACCCATTGGCTATCCCACCAAAGCTTCTTCACGTTCGAGCCCCTCTCCCTCAGCTTTAAGCGCGCATTGTCGGAACCTGACATCGTGTGATGGCCAGCGTGTTAGTCTTGGAGCGGCCACTGGCGCCGAAAGGTGACCGGGCTGCGCCGTTTCAGAATGAGTCGCCTGATCCTGCTGGCCGGCCTGCTGGCCGCTTGTTACGCGGCGCCTCAGTACCCCGGCAGTGACTACCTGCCGCCCTGCAAAGCAGTGGTCGACGTCACCTCAGTCGCGTACGTGACCAAAACCTCAAAGTATGAGAAGGTCAGCACCCTGATCCAGCCGAAGGCTATCACCAGCTACAAGACCGAGACCAAGGTGGTGCCGCAGCTGGTGACGCGCACGGTCGTGGTGACCGAGACGGTGCCCGTGACCAAGACGAGCATCAGCACAGTCACGGAGGCCCAGACGAGGCAGCTCATCAAGACCCAGGTTGGCGATGCCGTGACGCAGGTGCAGACGATTTCGAGCACAACGGAGGTGGTGACCACCAACTACGTGACCCGCACGATCACGGCCACGAAGGTGCTGACTTCCACTGTGGTGCAGACAGTGACGCGCACCATCACCGATCAGGCGACCGTCACACGCACCAACACCGTCGTCAAGACCAACGTCGTGACCAGCAGCCTCCCTGACCAGGTCTCGATCAGGACAAACATTCTCACGCGGATAATCACGTCCACCAAGGTGGTGCCTGGTCCGACGGTCGTCAACACCATCACTCAGACCAAGGTCAGTGCTCTCAGGCAGGCTTTCGCAGGCTTCCTTTGAAACTTTGCCCTCAATCACTTCAGGGCACAGGGATTTGGGTCGTTTTCAGCATGCGCTTTTCGGCAATATTCAGATGCTGACGTTTGTAAGTTGTTGATGAATATTGTTTGCACTCCATTGAGATTAGCACTGCTCCGATGAAGCCGCATACAGAGCAGATGAGGGCACGTAGGCGAGCCGCAGCCGGGCCGATCACCCCTTAGATGCGCATACAGTTGAATTGGAAATATTTTGTTGGCATGTGTGCGCTTTAACCCACGTCATGGGCCCGGCGCAGCGACCACCTTACTTCGCAGCTCTGTGCGAACGGCGCCCTGTAGGCAGCTAGCGCTCTCGTCTGGCCACGGCGGGATGCAGCCCCGGTCTCCGGGGCCTGACCGGTCGCTCGCGTTCGCAGACCGAGACGAAGGAGACTGCCGTGCAGCAGCCGGACAAGACCCAGGTCATCACCACCACTCAGACCGTAATCAAGACGAACCGCGAGGAGGTCACGCAGACGGTGAGAAGCACCATCGTCTCCACCCAGGTCCAGATCAAGACGGTCACGCAGACGTCCACCGTGACGTCGGTGCAGCAGCGGGTGGTCAGCGACACGAAGAACGTGCAGGTGACGGTCACGCAAACCCAGCAGAGCTTGGTGACGCAGGTCGTCACCAGCACCGGCTACGAGACGGTGGCTGTGACGCAGACGAAGAGCGAGCCAGGAAAGACGGTGGTGCAGACGTCCGTCCAGCTGGTGACGGCCACGCAGCAGCTGCCTGGTGCCACCAAGACCCAGCTGAGCACGTCCATCGTGGACAGGACCTCCACCCAGACGAAAGTGGTCGTGAAGTCCGTGGTGGAGACCAGCTACGAGACGAAAACGGTGAAGGCACCTTGCGGCTACGACTACTCCGAGCCGGAGAAGAAGTTCGACTTCTAGACGGCTCCGGTACCCGAGGAGCGTCTCTGATTTGGCTGGGGTAATTGTCCGACAACGATTGGCGCCGGCAGGGGGAGTGACTGCCAAATGACGCCTTGTTGCACTTAAATTATTGTCATGTGGTCCGGAACAACCAGGCACATATTCAACGTGGGTGTATGAAAGCAACTGTGGAGCAGCATGTTTGAGTGGGGCAGAAGTGTAATAAGACGACCGTGTGCAACAGACTAAGCGTCGTGTTACTTCCCGAGTGCGTCGACCCGATATGTGTCTGAAATGACGACTTAGGTTTACGGACAGGCCCCAGATGTGAAAACTTTAGAAAATATCCTTTTATTGCTACAGAAATGGAAGCTTTACTCCACGTTTTACATGGGTGTTGATTTGATTCTTTTTGTGGTGTCCAAGCCGTCAAATAGGATTGGTGGCAGTTGTAGCCGATTCGTGCGACCGCCAGTGAGCTCAGCGGGCGAAACGCAGCGAGCCTGCACAAGCCAGCCAAGTCCTTGACAGCATTCTCCATCCCTACTTGGATAGTCATCAGTGTCCATGCGGAAGCTGCACCTCTAACAACCTAAAATAAAGATAGGCAAGGGGCGTCGAGCTGTCAATAGAAGGCAAGCCATACGTTACACGTTTAACTACACCCATCCGTATTGCTGGCATGATGCCGCGTCCGCAGCATGCGTGTCTTACCTTTACAGGAAAGGCTCACGGACCGCGTAGTGATACGAATTATGCGGCGTTCCAGCGAGGATTAAGGACATGACATTTTTGGATGACTAATCCAGATAAAACCCTGAAAAGACGGAAATCTTGCCACTCTCAGAGCCAAATACCGACACGCAATCAGTGTATCGAGTGGTACCTGCACGCCAGGGCGGGAACGAGCCATTAATGTGCACCAGGCACAGGAAGCAACCGTCCTATCTCAGTGAAAACCAGCCACCGTGGGGCGTCCACAAGTGAGAACCAGCCACCGTGGGGCGTCCACAAGTGAGAACCAGCCATCGTGGGGCGTTCACAAGTGAGAACCAGTCGCCGCGCGACGTCCACGAGCCGCGCCTTCATGTGCCCGCGTCTGAAGATTTGTGAATTAACAAAAAAAAAAGGCACTTGCATCAGATTAGGGACATCAAGCATGCCGGCTACCAGAAAGCTAAGCGGAGATGCATCCTTCGTGCGAACGGCGTTCAGTTATTGGGCTCAGCTGCCGTTATTGCAAGTTACGCAGAAGAGTCATTCCTGCTTTCCTATGTTTTTGGGTTAGATATGAGCTTTGTGAGCTTCTTGGATAGTGAAACGGTACTCTACGCTAAATCGCGCAGCGTTCTCGATCTGACCTCATTGTGTTGGAATTATTACACCATATTTCGTGCAAGAAGAAAAAGTAAGGCTATCTGAAGGGTGCCCTTCATCCTGACTACATTGTAGCAATGCTACCATGGACGTAACTTCAAATGGCTCCAGGAAACCGTGGAACACCAAAGTAAGATCAGAACCAAAAAGCAAACCCTGAGCTCATCGATTTGTGTCCAACTGGCTCGGTTTGGCCAATCAAAGGTCACTTTCACTGGTGTTCACTAATCCGGTGCGGGGCGGCATCTGACGGAGTCCCGTCCGCGCCGGCCGGCTCCCGGCGCATCCGGACAAAGTCAAGGCCTGCCCAGCGCTGCTGACCTTCAGTGAACAGCTTTCCTCGACGGGTGAGCGCCGGGCCGCAGCCTCTCTAACCCCGCAGAACGGGTCCGATTAGAACCGGACTCGAAATTAAGTCCACACACATGACCTTTCGGAACTCGGGCTTCACGTTGCTCGCTTTACAGATGACACGTACCCTAACTCAGGTTGCCGACTGAACGGGTGGTCGACTTGGACTCAGCCTCAGGCGCAAACTAAGTGCATCGTGCTCAACCCAAGCCCCCAGCAGAATTATAAAATAAAAATGCGATATTTCCATCGATTCTTAGAAATAAAGGAAATCACAGCACACGTCGTTACGAACCCATTCATGGACGCCCGCGATTGCGGTCATCATATTAGCGCTCAGGGGCCGTAGCGCAACCCGGCTTCGAACCCGGGTCCCGACGTGAGATCTGAAGGCGCTAACCACTCGGCCATTACATTCACAGATTAAATGACATTGGGGCTAACTTCAAACTCGGGTTCTGAAACTTTGTCGTCGTCGCCTGCCTCGCTCCGGGGCAGGGACGGCGAGCACCAGGTTCATGGATTCATGAATGTGCTTACCAGAAATATGCTCGATGGTCGCTATGGTCCTATCCCCAAAAAGTGAAAAATCGGGGAGCGGCAACAAACAAACATTGTTTTTGTTTGAATGTCAAATGTTCAGCTCAAAAATGTTCTGTTTATTGTCCCATCATTCAATATCTTTCATTTTTTGTTTTAAACCATGTCGGCATCTGAAGAAATTACATAAAATCTGACCCGACGGCAGCTGGCGTGGTTTGTGCAACCGTCTAGCTTGCACAGCTGCGCTTGTGATCACATAAACCGCGTCTGTATACTGCACCACATCTAGTGATAAGATAGAATGCTCACACCCGACTGTAGCACTTCACAGATTGCTTTTTCAGGATCCAGTCCGCAGGGGCGGTAAAAGTGTGCTTTTTGTCGCTGCCCGAATTTCTGGAGACAAAATTGTCGCCAGCAGCGTCATGCGCTGCCATATGACATGAAATGGGAATCCACGCCCAGTAGCGTCATCAGGAATCAGCATATCGCCGAAAGCATCTTTTATCACCACAATTTTCAACATCATGCACACAACCAAAACACTCCATTTTACGTTGTCCGACTTATGTCAGGATAACTTCTGGTGCTAGGAGAGCAGATGCACCCGCCCTAGACTATGGAATAGCCAAATCACAACAACGGTCTTCCCCACCCTCGGGACTTGCCGGGGCCTCACGATTAAACTCGATCTCCGGCTGGCTTTGCTTTACCCGACCGCGAAAAAGACACAGCGAAGGATCCTGATAGCCAAAACAGCAGAATACACGGCAGAGTTTTAACCGATGGCAGGCAGCACTAGAGATGGCGTCTACTATACAGGCATCCTTGACCATGCCCGTTATGAACACACGTATGTGCTTCGAGCTCATCTTAGCCGTCATCAAACTGACCACCATACCCTAGGCATGCTCCGAGACTGGAGCGACATGTGTTGCCTGGTGGGCGTCTTTCGCCGTGCCCCAACAAGTATATCGTATTGCAATTTGTTAATAACTTGACACGCGCCCGGGGGCCGGTCGGATACGCTCCGCTCGGTTGGGGGTCAATTTGACCCGCCTGAAATCTCAAGAACTAAGTAAGATAGAGCCACCAAATGTACAGAGTGCGTTGATCTGCACATGAACTCACTTAAGTCGAAGTTTGAGGTTCCTAGGCCATGACCTTCGGGCTAAATAAGGTTAAGCAAGGTTCTGAGCTACGTGCCCACGAAAATGTGACAGGTATATTGGGGAGGGCATTTCAAGGTCACCTCAGTGGTCATGACGTTATAGTAAAATCATTCAAATCCTGCCATGGTGCTCATGACACCTGGCGCTTTGACATCATATACATACTGCCTGCTTCCAAGAGCTCTGGTGATTGCACAAGCTACTCTAAATATTACCAAATCTTTATTTAAGATATGAAAAAGGGTACACAAAATGCTGCAAAAATGAAGAAAATATCTGCTGTGGCATGGAATGGATCAGTTGAAGCTGCTGTTTAACTCATCACTTAAGAAGACTGACTAGGCAAGCAGAAACTATAGTTCTGAAATGGGGTCAGCTTTTCTCATTTTATCAGACATGACCTAGCTATTTTCAAACTCTGTAATGTGTTTTCTGCCAACAAAACATACCCCTGTCCTGTTTGTTACCTCTGAAATGTAGTGTCACCTGGGGTTAAACAGGATTGCTAATGTGTTCATAGGGAATGGTAGCTATATTGAGATAACACAGGATATTAGATCATGCGATTGTCTTAGCTTCTTGGAAGGAATGGGAGCCAGAGTTCCTCATAGCAGCGTTTCTTACCTACGCCCACCTTTCGCGGATTTGAAATAATATGATCTAGTCGTGGAGCTTCAGCGGAAAAACCTCAAGTCCTGCGACGTTGTCTGCAACGGCATGGGCTCAGTTCTGTGGGCGCTGCGGCCGGACGTGCTCGTGGTCCCCTCGACTCCTACCTTTCCTGGACGACCGCAACTGCTAGCTGGGGGCGACTACAGCTGCTGACTGATCGCACGGGTATTTGGCATTGCGTCACTTCAACTTTGAACTGCTGGCTGGGGGCGACTACAGCTGCTGACTGATCGCGCGGGTATTTGGGATCGCGTCACTTCACCTTTGGCGGGAGCTGATTCAACCTTTGCAAGGCTATACAGTGTGCATTAACGGTGTACGGAAGTCATATTTCAAGATTTTTTTCTTGCTGGACCTCTAAGCTGTCGATTCCATCTCAGCTTTATCCAAGATGCTTAAGTGAGTGTTCCACATTTGTATGGGGTTTTGAAATGAAACAGCTATTTTGAAGATCGTTTGGTGCAGTTCAGAGTCCGGGTCTTCTTGAGACTTAAGCCCCTCTAGCGTCTGAGCTACACGCCCGCGAGATGGAGAAGGTATATCAGGGAGAGGATATCAAGCTCACCATGACGCCATACTAACTTCATTAAAATCCTGCCATTACGCTGGCCGAAGACATATGGCAATCAAGCCCAAGACACATACAATTGTCAAGTATTTCCTATCTGACATTGCTTAACACGATTTGCAAATATAAGGGCCGTCAATCGGCTCTTAACCAATATAGTGCAACGTACGATGACGTAATAAAACCACGTACCAGGGAGCATATGTACCAAGCAGAGAAGTTACGTCGTCTAGAACAGCCTTTTTCACTAAAAAGCACACCACTAGTTGCAGGTGAGCTTATTTCATCAGACCTGATTTTTCTTAAATATCTTCAAAAGCGGAACATTCCCTTTAAAGCAAAGCTAGCCAAGAACAAAAATGACTCGTCGTCAGCTGTTATGGTCCATGTTTTCCTTGCCCATCGTCATTTCGTTAACAAACGTTGCCAACCCCGGCTTTGACCCCGGCGTTGCGTTTGACCGTCCTGGCCAGCCACCGACTGGCGGGGTGGTCTCGCGCGCCATCCTGTGATCGGTCGGGGGCGGGTCACATGAGCGCAGCTGACCTTAGTTCCTCCCAGC